AGCTGCCTCAAACTCTGGACCCTCCTGCTTCAACTTCCTGAGTACTGGGGTTGCAGGCATGCGCCCCTACGCCTGGCGTAAAACCTTTCAGTAATTCCCACTGCTTTTAGATAAAGACCATCCTATACCTTACCTTCAAGTTCCTTGATGACAATTCCAGTGACTGCTTTTCTACCTGACTTCCTTTGCAACACTCTAGAGAACTTTCCATCACTCAGAACTGCTTCACACCAAAAATTTTAAATTTCAACATCCCACACCTGACCAGTTTTCTATGCTTATGCAAACACTACTACTGTGCCTGCCAGCTCCTCAGTCTTTCCCTTTCTCCCCATCTGGAAAACTAATCATGGCCTAATCCCACCTGCCCCCAAGCAACATCACTTCTACTACTCTTTTTCAGTACTCACAAGTCTACTGGCCTCCTCTCCTGTAATATTACCTTGGAAACCATCAGCCCTGAATATTTTGACAATCTGCTTTTGCTCCTACATTCTGGCTGGAAGCAAATGTAGCAGGATGAACTGCTCTGAATGTAAAATTTGCATGATGAGGTATTTCCCCCTTATTTGTGGGTCTACCCACAAAGTTAGTTGTTGGATAGACCCCACAAATAATTGACTCCAAATCTCAAACAGACCCTTAGAATCACTCAATAATTTTATATGCTTCATTACTGTCATGGGAAATTCTATACCTTTTCCACTCTCCAATATCCTGTGTCTGTTTACTCTTCAGCAGATTGCTGGCCTTGCACCTGAATTTTCAGAAAAAAGCAAATCTATCCAAAGCTTTAACTCTTTCACTTCTGTACAAGATCTATCTTCTTTACCTATGCTCCAAAGCCCAATGATGATTCCCCTCAGACTGAACCAAAAAGTGAAAGTTCTTTCATAATCAAGATCAAGGCCAGCTTTCCAGCCTTCCCTCCCCACTGCTGCTCCTCCAGGACATCCTGCCTGTAGTTCGGGGAATGCTGACACACAAAGAGGATCTGAAACTCACTGTGGTAGATCATATCCAGTGAGGCTACCCACTGGAAGTAGAGTCCCAGAACAGAGTCTTGAGACAAAGCTGAACTCATGTTTCTAAGAATGCTATCATAACAAGGACTCTGTACATTAGTCCGTTCTCCATTTCTACAACAAAAGACCTAAGGTTAGGTAACCTAAAAAAGAAGGGAAGTTTATTTAGCAATTTTGAAGGCTGAAAATCCAAACAGCATGATGCGGGCTCTGGTGAAGGCCCCCTGACTATACCACCTCATGGTAGATTGTAGGATGGTGGGAGCAAGCATGAGAGGGAGACGTGGCATGGTGAGAGAGCAAGCTATAGCATGGAGAGGGGCCAGGCTTGCTCTTTTACTGCAAAACTCTAGTGAGAGCTAGTCAAAACCCCACGAGCACTACATCAAGACTGGAGCTGTAAAACACTTGTTCCTTCCTATTATTGCTATACTCTCTCTTCAACAAAATTAGAGATAAGGGCAAAATAGTTTCTGCCTGGTATTGAGGGGGTGGGGAGTGAGGGAGGGGACGGAGTGGGTGGTAAGGGAAGGGGTGGGGGCAGGGGGGAGAAATGACCCAAGCCTTGTATGCACATATGAATAATAAAACAATAAAAATAAATAAATAAAAATAAAGTCTTTAAAAAAAAAAAAAGACTGGAGCTGTGGTTCAAGCAGTAGAGTGCCTTCTTTGCAATTGTGAAGTCCTGCGTTCAAACCCTAATCCCATCAAAATACAGGAAGGAAGGAAGGAAGGAAGGAAGGAAGGAAGGAAGGAAGGAAGGAAGGAAGGAAGGAAGGAAAGAAAGAAAGAAAGAAAGAAAGAAAGAAGTGAAAAAAAAACTACATCAATTCCTTCTAAGCACAGCATCTTCAGTGACCTTCCACTAAAGGTCTTACCTCTTCACAGTCCCACCATCTCTCACATCGCCACTCTGGTTTTTGCTAGGCAGGCGCTCTACTACTTGAGCCACTCCACCAGCCCTCACATCGCCACTCTGGGAACCAAGCTTCCAACACATGAACTCTTGGGGAATAAGCCCTTAAGTCATCTTCAAAACATGAGACCCTACTAACAAGGAGAACACAAACCATCACCATGATGAAGTTGAAAAGTCATGAGTCAAAGATTCCAATAAATGGGAATGTCCAGTTAAGACAGGAAGTAGAAAATAGCCAACATGGAGGAAAAAGACATGGAACAAGATGAAAATCCAGAGTAATTCTCTCCCTCTTGATCACCACACAAATGACTCTTTGTGTCATTCCAGTTCCCTGACCTCTGGAGAGGTCTTTCTGATCACCTAAAGAGGCTACTTGGCCACTTACTACATTTTCATGTTTAAGTGCTCTGCCTAGCAGTGTGGTGCTAGCTGATGTTTCTCTTCTTTATAGATTTATAAAGTAAACTGGTAAGTTTACTGTGCAGCTCTCCCCACCCCCACCAGAACGTAAGCTCCATGAAAACACAGCTCTTCTCACTTACTCTCTATCCCCAGTGGCAAGAATAGTGCTTCAAATTCAGTAACTGTTCAGTAAATATTGGATGAATGAATTCAATCTTAGGAACACTCCATAAAGATTAAAAATTAAAGATTTCCAGGTAATTCTGACTTCAGTCAGGCTGGAAACCACTGGACTAATACTAAGAATTCTTTCCTATGATACTTCATCAATTAAAAAAAATTAGGACCAAGCCCTTCCCCATTCTATATTTCTGTATTCCATATTTAGTAAAATTCACAAATAACAAATATATTAGTGGTAGTGTTTAATTCCTTCAGGCAGCCTGAAATTGAAGTCTCCCATACTCTCCTCAGAAACAATCTCAGGAGTCTTTTCTTCCCATAAGTTATTAAACCAATAATATTATAGACTGTGACTGAGGAATCAACTTCTCTTCTGTGCTTTGGTGATGTGACGCTACTCAGTTCACTTTTCACATTTCAAATTAAGTCAGGTGGTTTCAAGGCAAGGACTCATGAAAATGAAAACTGTTTTATGTTCTTTGTTTCAACCACACTATGAAACATGTGGAAATGCAGAAGCTGTGGTGTTGCTGAAGAGCCTTTAAGCATCCTGTTTCTAAAGCTTAGAACACACTTCTCCAACACTCCTATTCTCTATGGTTCAGATATCATCTTCAATAACTAAACACCAGAGAGCTATTATTTTGAATTATTTATTTTGTTTTTCCCAATCTCAAACACTATCTGCCATGCAATAGCTACTCGATAAATGTTTCTTAAGTTACACTACTCAGGTATTTGCTCTATCCCTGGGGCTTGCTGTGTTCTCTGCTGTAACTTGTATAATATTATCATCGGCTATCATTTATTTAGTACTTATCAAGTATAAGGTACTGTGCTAAGCTCTTACCTATAGCATCTCCCTTAATCCCCCAAGGATACTTCAAAGATACGCATTGTTGTTGTTCAATAGAAACCAATGAGGAAATGAAATTCAGAGACTACATACATATATATATATGTTCATATACATATACATATATATATATATATATATATTAAGTAGCAAAATTTGAATTTCAATCTAGGGTTTGGCTTTCTATCCTATACTGCCTTGAACAATCAATACTGTATCCGCAAGCAAGGTATCAGTATTTTTAGTGTACATTATTTCTGCCTCAACTTTGTTAACTGATGATGGAATTTAGGACCACTTCTTAAATATTTCTGAGAGTCTCAGTCTTCTCACTCATAGAATGGGAATTTGGAGAGAACCATTGTGATTCATTTAACCTCTCTGTGTCTCAGTTTGCTAATCTTCAGAATTCATAGGTTTGGACCAAATATAACCTCAAGTGTCTGAATCTGTGTATATGAAAACCTGTAAGAAATCTCTTTTCTTTTGTAAATGTCACTAAGTACCCCCAAGTACAACAATAATATCATAAAAAAGAAAATAAATAAATAAATAATGTAGTCACAAGTTTTAAAATCATTCTTATACTGCAAAGAATAGTTCTTAGGTTGAAGGTCATAGCCACAAATCAATTGAGAACTAAAATTTAAACCTATTTCTAGTCAGCTTACACTCTAGCCATGAAAGCTTTAAAATTCTGAGTCTAACATAGACTGGGTAAGGGTTTTGATTCCCAAGACTTTCACCCCTGAAGCTACATGGTAATTTTGATGTGCTTTCTCTGCTGGCTATGAAGTGATGAAGAGGAAAGCAAGAAAGAAAGAAATCAGGTCACTAAGATCAACACAGGGATGGATCTGAAAAAAATTTAGAGATGGATTAGAGAAAGGAAAACAGGAAATGTGGCACTGAATCAGTAATGGTTCATACATGCATGATCTGTGTTGTGTGATTTCTTCTAGCATGTGGTAACCAACTCAATGTTTTTTCCACTTTCTCAACAATGGCACAAATGCAGATTATTCTGCCAATAGGTCTTCATCATTTATAAATAATATAAATCTTTAGCCTGTCTTCCCATTCCATTTTAATGTGAAACTCAGTGTTTAAGTTTTTCTTTCTATTTTCTCTCCAGCAAGTTTAGGTAGCTCATTTCCAGATTCTATTTTCATTCATGCCTGATACTTACCCCCTCCCTCCCGATGTCCCCAACACCATCCATCCATGTGCTAATGAAAATCCTAGAATTAAAGCAGGGTGGGAGCCTGGTAGGATGACTAAATATGAGAAAATAATTTTTAGTCAGTGTTCTAATGCCTGAAATTAGCATATGAACCTTAAATAAAATGACTTTGCTTATCAAATTTTTTAAATCTCCCTTTAAAATAGAGAAACAGTTTAAAGAAGTAATCATCTCTCTGCCTCCACCTCTACACAGTACATTACACAGAAAAAGGAACCAAGAAGAGCAAAAAGACTCCTTCTATGTGTGAATAGTAGGTTTAAGGTTGGGGAGTAGAATCCGCAAGAAGACAGATGGAATGAAGGCAAAGAACCCTTTTTTTTGCCTGTGTCTCTGAAGAGAAGACTGCTGATATAGAGCCCTAAGGCTTGCTTAAGACCATCTGGCATGAAGACATAGCTCCAAGGTAAGATCCCCTGGGCCAGCAGGTTTCTCCTAGTGCTCTCATCTGAATAGATCCTCCAAGCTTACTCCAATCAGCTTCCTGAGGTTCCAGTGGCTTTTCCCACAAAAGCAGCTCAGTGTCTCCCAGTAGAGGTGGTGTCTTCCTGAAAGTTGCTTCTGCCAAAAAGTATCATTTCATCCAAGACTCAAAATAACTAAATCTGAGAGCTCTACCTGAAGAAGTGAACACTGGGATCTTTCAGAAATCCCTGGAAGTAGTCCAGAATTCAGTACAGGTATTTTGGGGAGGAAAGAAATGCAGCTTGTAGCTTTAAAGGAGCAAAATGAGATTCTTACCAACCTTGATATAATAAATTGAGCAGAATAATAGGTTAAAAACTATTGAGCATTTTTTATGTGCCAGAAAGGAAGCTAGATGGCTCAAATACAATGTCTCACTTAGTCCTCACAAAAACTCATAAGGGAAAAGGAAAAAAGGGTTTTACAGTTAAGAAAGAATCTAAGGTTACAGAGCTAGTAAGTGGCAGAGGACAGATACAAACATAAGACTGCAGGATGCCAGTGTCTAACCTCTGCCCCATTAATTTGTTCTCAAGTACTCTAACACCATCTTAAAAGATGTTTAAGAGTGAAGAATTCTCCTGGTATGTGCAATAAATCAAAGTTGATAGGAAATATTATATGATATTCAGAACCACTACCAACACTGATCTGAAAAGTTTTACTTTGATTTTGTTCAAGTCCTGTATTATTTTCAGGTGCCTTTCTAGAGCTCAGCCAAATTAAAAACTGAAATCTCCCTGAAAATCAGTTTGCCATATGCACATACACAAAAAGATTATCATACACACATGGAGTGCACAGAAACATAAGCACTACACATGCACCATTCCTCAGATCCAAAGATCTCTGGTCTCTGGACTCCAGATACACACATAAAAACCACACCTCATACACACAATCACACAGATACACATACACAGAACACAAAAAACACACAGTTTCAAATATATACTGCATGGTTAAAGCCACATATCACAGAGACACACAGAGAGAACTTACACTCACCTGCGCATAACAAGTGCATCACAGATACACAGAGAGGCCACAGACATAACTACAGGCAGAGAGAGAGAGAGAGAGAGGAAGGAGAGAGAGGAAGGTAAGGGAGAGAGAGAGAGGAAAGAGAGGGAAAAGGGGAGAGAGAGGGAGGGAGGAAGGAAAGGGAGAGGGAGAGAGAAAGAGAGGAAGGAGAGGGAGAAGGGGAGAGAGAGAGAAAGAAAGAGAAAGAGGAAGAAGAGGGGGAAGAGAGAAAGGAAGAGAAGAAGAAGAAGGAGAGGTAGAGGGAGAGAAGAAAGAGGGAGGAGGAGAGAGAAAGAAAGTGAGAGAGAAAGGAAGGAAGAAAGGAAAGGAAAGAAAGAAAGGAAGGAAAGGAAAGAAGAAAGGAAGGAAGGGAGAGAGAGAGAGAAGAGAAAAGAAAAGAAAAGAATGAACTGGGAATTCTCCAGGGATTTTGTTTCTCTTTGCTACTGAGTTCCAGTACCTATCCAGTTTCTACCACATTCACATCTCACTTCCAGCTGCCGGAATTTTCTGTCTATCTCAGGTCATTCCAAAGAGGAACTTCAAGCTCTTTTTCTTTGATTCCCCTAGAACAACCACAATATAAAACAGCTGTAGATTAATGGGGAAAAGGGACATAATGTCATATCAAAACACAGCAAATAGATTAAAACTGAGTATTACATCTCTTGTGTCATCTCTGCTTCTCAGAATATCTCAGTGACACTTTCTCCTCTTCAGGCCTCCTAACCTCCTGCTGGTTTCTCCTGTGCTTCCTCCCATAAAACCATCCTCACTCCTCTTCTTTCTTCTCAAGGTCCCAGGACCTTCACCCACCCTTTTTCTCAAGCTTTCACTCTTTCGTTCACCGTTGCCTAACATTCCATACCCTTTAGGTAAAGCAGACTACTAAGGTATTTTCCTGTAGAGAAAACCATTTTTACTTTAGAGAAAAAAATTTGCAACTCCCTTCAAAGGCAGAATGAAGGCAGCTATGGTCTTAAATAGCAATTGTTTCTTTTCTCTTTATGTTCTTAGAGTGTTTTGGCTTAGTAAAAAAAAAAAAAAGCATCATCAATAATTTCCATCGCTTTACCAAATTTATCAAAAACCAATTTGTTGATGTGACTCTGTTATAACAGCTATTTTCCAAAACATTCTCAGGTTTGTATTTTCAATATTACAAGAATCATTATCCAAAATAATGGATATTTTAGGTACTTTAATATTTAGATACTCTGATTCATGGAGCATTATCAAAAACACTCCATATGCATTACCAATTTTCAAAGAAGTAATATAAAACAGTGGTAGGGCTGTCGACCACATGGAGGTATGGTAGAAGATGCTACGACTAAAAAAAATTTAACCCTTTACAGCCTCACTTCTCCTCTTTTTAAAGATTAGTCTCATAGACTTTGTGAAGGAAAAAAAAAGATTTTTTTTAGGAAGCTCCAGGAATATGACAAATTTTTGATCTTGTGAGTTCCTTGACTTCTCTCCCTCTCCTCCCCTCCCCAAAAGAAAGAACTACTGCTAGATTCTACAACATACTTTCCTCTTTTGTTGATATTCTGAAAGCAGCTCACCTTATAGTGCCTGACAGCTCCCATATGAAAACCACTTCTGATTGTTATGTGCTGAATATTAGAATAGTAGATAATAGTATTTACTATATATGATTAGCTTCTTAAGGAAAATCTAATTTCAGCATCCCATGACTACTAATGTGCAACAGTTGCTGTTATTTTGATGTTTTGTTTTAACTATTGCTATACTGGGGGTACATTGTGATATTTATAAAAGTTCTTATAATATATCATTGTTGAATTCACCCCTCCATCATTCTCCTTTATCCCTCCCCCCATTCCTGAAATAGTTTCGACAGGTCTCATTTTTCCATTTACATACCTGACTACATAATATTTCCACAATATTCACCTCCTACACCCTTTGCTCATATCCTGCCCCCTCCCACTGGTACCAACCCACAGACAGGACCTGTCTTACCTTCCTGTTCTCCATTTTTGAAAAAAGAGACGTTGTTTATTGAAGGTAGCTATACAGGGTGTTTCATTGTGACATTTCCATGTATATATGTATTACAAACCAAATGCTGTTATTTTTGTTACTCAGCTTTTTTCACTAGCAGTGTTGTCCTGTCTAAATTTTAGTCAAGTAAAACCGATTCTATTTATTTTTTATTTATTTATTGCAGTACTGGAGTCTGAACTCAAGACCTCATGCTTGCTAGGCAGGCACTCTACAAATTGAGCCACTCCACTAGCATAAAACTGATTCTAAATTACTTTATTCAGGGCTGGAGACATGGTTTAAGTGGTAGAGTGCCCGCCTTGAAAGTGCAAAGCCCTGAGTTCAAACACCAACGCCATAAAACAAAACAACACTATAAATAACATTATTTAAGCACTTTGTGCCCACCTGTAATCCCAACACCCAGGAGGCCAAGGCAGAAGGATCATGGAAAGTTTGAGGTCAGCCTGTGCTATATAACAACACCCTATCTCAAAAAAAAGAAAAAGAAAAGAGGGGCTGGAGGTGGAGCTCAGTAGTAAAATGCTTATCTAGTGTGCACAAGGCCCTGGATTTGATCTCCAGCACTGCACCAAAAAAAAAAAGTGTGGGGGAGAGAATATTATCAAAGTATATTATAGTATGTATGGAAGTATCACAGTTAAAATCCTCAACTTGTACAATTAAGATATGTTAAAAATACTTTTTTAAAAAAGACGGGTTAGACTTCTGGTTAATATCCAAATAGAAGATTATTAGTCATCTAAATTGATTACTTAACAATTGTCAAAATGTCCCAACCTTTATTTCTCTTTCACATTTACTGCATTTCATCTATAGCATTTCTATATTTCATGCTCAGGTTAATCTGATCTTAAGTCCTCATACAACATTAACGTATAGATCTTAGAAAAATATTTGATTTCTATCATTATGGAAATATTGTTTACCGATATTAGAATGTTGTCACTTGGACCATCGCTATGCAAAACTTACTATTTTAGTTCCAACATTTAACCTTTTCTTTTACTTTGTAGTTGTTATTTTCACTGTTCTTCCCTTCTTAGGTAAATATGGATCTAATCAACTCTACTATCTACGTGGTCAATGCCTCTACTTTAGCAAGAAACAGCACTCACATTTCTGCTCCTGTTTCAAAAATAATCATTGCCCTTCCTTTGTTCATGTCATTTATAATTGGTACTATCACCAATGGCCTCTATCTATGGGTGCTAAAATTCAAGATGAAAAAGACTGTCAATACTCTCTTATTTTTTCATCTCATTCTCTCATATTTTATTTCAACATTGATTCTGCCATTTGTGGCCACCTCTCATCTTCAGGAAAATCATTGGACCTTTGGAACTGCCTTGTGCAAGATCTTCAATGGCACTTTGTCTGTGGGGATGTTCGCCTCTGTTTTCTTTCTCTCAGCCATCAGTCTTGATCGTTATCTTCTCATTCTTCACCCAGTGTGGTCCCAGCAGCACCGAACCCCACGTTGGGCTTCTAACATCATCTTGGGCATCTGGATATCTGCCACCACCCTCAGCATACCCTATTTGGTTTTTAGGGAGACACACGATGACCGTGAAGGAAGGGTGACCTGCCGAAATAACTATGCTGTGTCTACTAACTGGGAAAGCAAAGAGATGCAAACATTAAGGCAATGGGTTCACGCAGCCTGTTTTGGCAGCCGTTTCCTACTAGGCTTCCTTCTGCCTTTCTTCATCATCATCTTTTGTTACAAAAGAGTAGCCAGCAAGATGAAAGAAAGGGGCCTGTTTAAATCCAGCAAACCCTTCAAAGTCATGATAACTGCTATTATCTCTTTCTTTGTGTGTTGGATGCCCTACCATATATACCAGGGCTTACTTCTCACTGAGAACCAGTCACTACTTTTACAGCTGACTATGATATTTACAGTGTTGACCATTTCTTTCAATACTGTCTTTTCACCTATACTCTACCTATTTACTGGTGAGGATTTCAAAAAGGTTTTCAAGAAGTCAATTCTCACTCTGTTTGTGTCAACATTCAGTGATGATTCTTTTGCAGGAAGGACACAAAATCTAAATTCAGAAAGCTTAATTTAAATTATGAATCCTTAAACAAACATGGACTCTGTCAATTTTACCATGAAAGCTATACCTGTTGTTTTTGTATTCTGTACTCCCAATTGTAGACAGAATATTATGAATATTAAAAGGACTCCAAGGAAACAAGCAATAGATCATGTTGCAAATGTGATTTTTAAACTCTTTTTTAATTGTGATAAAACACATGTAACATAAAATTTGCCATTTTCAGCATCAAAAAAACTTAAAATACCTAGGAATAAATTTAACAAAGAAAGTGAAAGACTTGCACAATAAAAACTATAAATCACTGAAGAAAGAAATCATTGAAGACACTAGAAGATGAAAGATCATCCCATACTCATGGACCAGCAGAATCAATACTGTGAAAATGGCTATACTACCAAAAGCAATCTGTATGACCAATGCAATCCCCATCAAAATTCCAGTGACATTCTTCACAGAGATAGAAAAATAAATCCTAAACTTCATGTGGAAGCACAAAAAGAACAATGCTGGTAGTATCGCAATAGTACTTCAAATTATACTAGAGAGTCAGAGTAATAAAAACAGCATGGTATTCCCACAAAAACAGACATGAAGACCAATAGAACAGAATAGAAGACCAGACACAAACCCATGCAGCTACAGCATTGAATTTTTGACAAAGGAACCCAAACATGCATTGGAGAAAAGATAGCCTCTTCAACAAATGGTGCTGGGAAGACTGAATATCCACCTATAGATAATTGAAACCTGATTCCAGTCTCTCACCTTGTACTAGTATCAATTCAAAGTGGAGAAAAAAAATGCAGAATCTGAAACTTTGAAACTTCTACAGGAAAGAATAGAGAAAACAATGAACATATAGATACAGTTAATGCCTTTCTGAATAGAATGCCAATGGCTCGGAAATTAAGAAAAAGGATTGACAAATGGGACTGTATCAAACTGAAAAGCTTCTGTCCAGCAAAGGAAACAGTCACTAGACTGAAGAGACAGCCTATAGAATGGGAGAAATTTTTTGCCAGCTGCACATCAGACAAGGGATTAATAACCAAAATATACAGGGAACTCAAAAACCTCACCTCCAAAGTATCAACAATCCAATGAATAAATGGGCAAATGAACTGACAGAGAATTCTCAAAATAAAAAGTACAAATGGCCAATAAATATATGAAGAAATGCTCAACACCCTTGGCCACACAGGAAATGCTCTTACAACACTGAAATTTCACCTCACTCCAGTCAGAATGGCTATCATCAAGAATGCAAATAGCAACAAATGCTGATGAGGATGTAGGGGGAAAGAAACCCTAATCCATTCTTGGTGAGAATGCAAATTAGTGCAATTGCTATGGAAAGTAGTATGGAAGTTCCTCAAAAAGCAAAAAATAAACCTACCCTATAATCCAGCATTACCACTCCTGTTCATATACCAGAAGGAATGTAAGTCAGAATATAATAGAGCCACTTGCACTCCTATGTTTAATGCAGCACTATTCATAATAGGCAAGCTTTGGAGACAGCCCAGATGTACTACAATTGATGAATGGATTAAGAAAATGCAGTATATATGCACAATGGAGTATTATTCTGCTATAAAGAGCAATGAAATTATGTTATTCACAGGTAAATGGATGGAACTGGAGATTATCATGTTAAGCAAAGTAAACCAGGTTCAGAAAGACAAAGGTCTCATGTTTTCTCTCATATGTGGAAGCTAGGTCTATGAGATAAATATATTCATAAATACATATATGATCATATATATAAGATCATATATATATGTATATACAGAGAGAGAACACGTGATTATAATAATGGTGTGATGGAACTATGGGGAAGCAGGAGAAGACAAGAGAATGATAGAGAGTGAATAATATTGAAACACATTCCATCTGTATATGAATCCAGTATACCAAAACTCATTGAAAGCTATTGAATAATAGGGGAGCAGGGCAATAGAGAATGAGTAAGCAATAGAGGGGGTTAATCTGATTAAAGTACTATACCACATATTTGTGTGTGTGTATATATATAAATATGTGTATATATAGTATAATATACCACAGTGAAACCACCTTGTACTTTAAAAAATGAGGGACAGGAAGGCAAAAATAAGTTCTGTTCAGGGATGAGCATCGTAGGATGGGGAGAGTAATGGAGAGGGTGAAGGAGGGCAAATACGGCTGGTGTACTTTGTATATGCATATGAAAATAGAACAATGAAACCTGTTATGTCAGAACATCTTTCCTTTTTATGTCTAAATTATATTCTACTTTATGTAGAAACCACATTTTTAAAATCTATTCATTTATTGATGGACACTTGAGTTTTGTTTTGTTTTAATACTGGGGGTTGAACTGCCTTGCACTTGCTATGCAGACGCTCCACCATTTGAGCAACACCACTAACCCTTTTTGCTTTAGTTATTTTGGGGGTAGTGTCTTGTTTTTTGCCCAGCCTGCTCTGACAGTGATCCTCCTATTTACACTTTCCAAGTAGCTGAAATGACAGGCGCACACCACCATGCCCAGTTATTGGCTGAGATGAGTTCTCACTAACTTTTTTGCCCAGGCTGGCTGTGAACCACAATTCTCCCGATCTGTGCTTTCCAAACAGCTAAGGTTACAGGCATGAGCCACTGCACCTGGCTCTATCTTTTGACTATGGTGAATAATACTACTTTAAACATTTGTGTGCAAGTATCCACTTGAGTCTTTTTCAGTTATTTTAAGAATATACCTAAGAGAGAAATCTTGAAGTCAAATGGTAACCATGTTCAATTTTTTGAGGAACCATCAAATTCCATTTGCACCTTCCCACTAGCAATGTATAAAGTTTGCAATTTTTCCACATCTTCACTTGTTGTTTTCTTTTTCAAAATTAGTCATCCTAGGTTTAAGTGGTACCCATGTGATTCTCAACCTTTGATTTTTGAAACTATGCATATAAATATCTAAATGTCAATAGTATCTATGGATTTGAAAGCTCTGTCACAGAATCTTCTAGCAAATAGATAACTATAGGTATGTATATTTTAATGGATTATATTTGTATTTTAATGTTTAAGTATAAAGTATCTATTTTTAATACTTATAGATTAAGCTATCTCCAAAATATAGGACTAAGAGTTATAAAGTTTAACAATCTACTTGTCATAGTATATTTAATTTTATAATAACAACATTAATTTGTCTTTCCTGGTTTTCAAGTTTTGCTTCAAGCTTTTTGCAATATCTTAAAGTTCCAAAGTGTGTAGGACCACATACTATTGGAGATCTATTACATTTTTATTGATTTTAGTTAGTGTGGTAGTCAGTTCTCTGTCCCTGTGACAAAATGCCTAAGATAAATCAACTTACATGGAGGAAAGGTTAATTTAAGAAAATTCCCCCCGATGCATTTTTAACCTCCCATAAAACTATGTCTACTTGTTAGAAAAATTATGTGTTATAGTTGTGTGGGTTTCATCAACTTCACTATTTTGAATTCCCAGGACCCAAGAGATTTATTAAACAAAGAATTAATGGCTTTGCTTTGTGGAACTGGTGCATGGAGACTGGTTTCATTTCAATGTGCCTATTAGCATCCAATTATATAAATTTGCTTTGTCTCGTCAGCATCAAACTGGTTCAAGAACAGAAGACAAGGATGGTTAAAGATGTGTTTCAAATGTTAGCCCAAGTTATTCCCTCAAGAAATAGCTCTTTGTTTCAATGGGATGAATAGTCTTTCCAGCTGCTAAAGTATGGGAGAGGGATTAGTATGCAAGGTAAAGTGGTGTGTACAACACAAAACTAAGTATGTACTTCTGAGAAACTAGGGGCAAGAATTACTTACTAGTATAGTGTGGATGTCTACACTACAGTAGGGTCTGAGGATGCACAGGTGAATAAGACACAGTCCCTGTCCCCATGGAGCTTAAAGTCTAGTGCAGCTGTTCAGAATTTGGCTCTACATTATAATCACCTGGGAAAGTTTCCCACAATTCCAATGTCTAGGCCTTATCCAAGCCAACTAAAATGAAAATCTCAAGGGACAGGACCAAGGAATCAGTATTTAATTTTAAGTGCTCAGATTAACTCTAAAATACAAAACTCGTGTTCAGTAGAAAAGAGAAAGGAGTAAAAGGTAATTGCAGTACAAACAAAAATAAGTGCCATATGGAGGGGAAAGGGAGTTTTAGAGAATGCCCTTCACCCAGCCTTCACCAGTGACAAAGTTTTCCAGGATGAAGAACCACCTGGCCAGAGTCCTACAGAACAGTTCTCCACATATAAAGGAGGAAACACAAAGTAAACAGAATGTAGAAAAGCCTGGAAGGGAAAGAGAACACAGTGCTATAATGCAGCACTACTCAAACTTGAGAATGCAAATGAATCACCTAATGATCTTGTAAAAATGCTTGTTCTGATTCAGTAGCTCTGGAATAGGGCTGAGATTCTGCACATTTAATAGAATCTCAAGGGATCCCATTGCTCCTCGTCCAGTCAGCAAAAAAAGTATAATTGGAATGTAAGTGTAAGAAGTAGGCTGGTGAAAATGAACTGTCAAGGTCAGCCAGGCCTTGATCCCGAGAGCCTGTGTAAATGGTTTGGACTGGATCCTGGCCTTTCTCCTGAGGGCATTAGGGAGCCAGCCACTGAAGGGTCTTAAGCCAAAAAGTGAAAGAATCCAATTTGCACTTGAAAAGATCTCTCTGACTTCTATGATACAAAGAGGTCATAACTGAAGGTGAAGGGTTAAGGCTGTAACTCAGTGGTAGAGTGTGTGTTTAGTAAGAGCAAGGCCCTCGGTTCAAGCCCCAGCTCTCTAGAGTCCTGTAAATTCTGTTGGTTGAGGGGTAAACAGAGGGGAGAAAGTTAAGGATGATTACTGTATCAATTATTGTTATTTGCTGCAAACAATAGATTTTATTCTGTCTGTTTTAACCCGAAATTGATTTATTAAAAGATATTAAGTATCTTATAAATTGTGTGTGGTGTTGTGTGCCTATAATCCCAGCACTTG